AATAGTAAAGAATTGAAGTGCAAAGCGCGGAATGCGAGAAGTTATTCAAAGATCGTCAAAGTTAGTCAAAGTTATTCCAGGACGATTTGGGGCTGGTCCCAAAGCGGAGAGCACGTCGCCCGCTCGACCGGGCCCCCCCTCGCCAAACGAAGCACGCGGCAGATTACACCGTGCATGCGTTGTGGTGAACTGCGAGGGGCGCACCCTGAATCAAGCGCGCTCTGATGCGATCGCAGACTCGTGCAGCGCGCGCCGACACGAGGCCGAGCGCACTCCTCAAGAAAATCTGTCCGACCCCAATAGGCCCAACACTAAAGGTCACTCTGGCCAAGGATCACTCTTACGTGCAGCCACCACGGGCCTGCCAGCCGGGCAAGCCTTCGAGGCGGCCGTCCAGCCTGCGCCGAAATGGGAAGGAGGAGCGGTGGCCTGGGCGGGAGCCAGGCCACAGCTGGCATGCGAGAGGGGTGGCGGACGGACTCGGCACGAGCCGAGAGAAAGGACCCCGCGGCACCAGAGGCGCGCAGCTCGGGGGCGGGCCCCGCGAGGCTGCCCTCGCCGCCCCCGAGGGGAGGCCGCGGGGAGAGAGCGGCGGCACGGCGGCACCCGGCGGGCAGTGCAGTCCGGCCTGGCCCTCCGGCCAGGCCAGGCGCATGCGAAGCGCCGCCCAGCAGCAGCACGACGGAGCTCTGCTGCGTCCCTGCTCGCAGCGCACACCGCCAGAGGCGGCGGAGAGCTTGAGAGATCCACATACCAAAAGTGTGGGCAGCCCTCTGGGCCTCCAGCCCCGCTGGTGGCCGCCCAGCTTAGACGAACCCCAAAAAAAACCGAAACATCATTTCTCGGAGGTCCGCGCAGATGTCTCGGATCCGCGCTGGGCCCCCTCCGTGGCGCGCGGAGCGCGCCACGGGCGGCGCCGGAGGCACCCTCAGGGGAGCCCAGCGCGGAGTCAAGAAATGCGAGCGGACCTTCGAGAAAGTATGTTTACGCAGTGTGTTATTCGATTGAGGGCAGCCCATCAGGCCTTCATCCCCTTCGGGAGCCGCATGCCCGGCGCCAAGCCAAAGGTCCCGACCTCCTCCCTGGGGTAGTCTTGAAGCACGGATCCATGTCTGATGGCCCCGAGGCCCGATCACGTGCCCCGGAGGCCGACGTCGACGAAAATCGCGAGGAATTGAATAGAAAAAACTTTTGGCGCTCCGCGCGGATGTCTGGGATCTGCACTGGACCACCCCACCCTGGTGCGCGAAGCGTTCCAGAGGCGGCGCCGGAGGCGCCGCCGGGGAAGGGGGCATGGCATACACGAAATCTGCGCAGAGCGCAAAAAAACGCTCATGGCGCTGATTAGTATTCTTCTTATTTCTAGTAATATTATTCTTCTTCGTATGAACATTAGTATAAGTATTATCATTATTAGCATTCGTCTTATTCTTTTTCTCCTTGGTGCTATTCTTCTTCGACTGGAGCAGTGACAGCCTCGGAGATCTGGGAGGCCCGTCGGTGGCCGCCTCGCTGGCGCCCGAGCCGAAGGGTCCCCCCAGGCGCCCGCGGCCCCGCGGCCGAGGGGCGGCGGCCGAGGGCCGGCGGCCCGGGCGGAGGCCAGGCCGGCGGCGCCTGCACGCAGCGGCGGGAGCCCTGGGCGGCAGCGCGCAGGGCGCCGGCAGGCGAGATGCCTCGAGTGCAGGAGGGGGAGCCAGAGGAGGAACGAAGCCTCCTTTGGGCGCCAGAAGCTCGAGTGGGGAACACGGGGAAGTTCCAGCAGATCTAGGAAACAGACGTGGAATGGTCAGTAGATCGTCTGCACACTCTGCGCGCATTTCGTAGGGTGCCTCGAGGGCAGGCCCTTCTGGCCTGCCCGGCGTTCAGCCCTGCCCTGTCGATGGACACCCGGGAGTTCAGGGGAGGCCTCCGCCGGTGGGCCTGTAGAGCGTATCGCCGATGACGCCCGTGCTGCTCTGAATGGAGCGCCCGGGACGGTGCCCTGCTGAGGGTCGAGGGCGGCCGTGGGCAGCGATTCAGTGGCTCAGTCCCGGCGCTGACGCTTCGACGTTGGGGCGCCGTGCTGACACGACTGCATCATCATGTCGTCATATACGCTCCATCATCACCATGACGTATCAGAAACAGCAGCATACAGGTAGTTGGCATCGCCGTCATCAGACCGTCAGCATCAACCTGGCGGCGCGCAGAAGGGGGTCCGGGGGAGGGGGAAGTCTTCTTAGAAGGAGGCTGCTTCTTAGAAGACGCTGGCCCTACATCTACAGACAAGGCTCGCGCCATCCAAGAAGCAGGGATGCTTCTAAGAAGCTTCCCCCCCTGACCTTACCCCCCTTGGCGCGTGACTGGTCAACAGCATCAGCACAAGCTCCAGCACCATCATCATCGCCACCTCGTATCATCATCAGCAGCAAAATCATCGACATCATCCTCGATCCCTTCTTCTTGTGGATAGCTCCTCCCTGTCGCACCCCGAGGCCGGTCGAGAGGGCGGGCCAGGCGTCTCGCCAGATGCTTCCTGACCATGCTTGATCCTGAAACCAAAAAATTGCAACAGTTTCACAAAAATTATCCCAGTGCGACCCTACCTAGGAGTTGGAGCCTCTAGGAAAGCAACATTAGTAGGAGTTGGAGCCTCTAGGAAAGCAACAGTCGTAGGAGCAACAGCAGCAATAGTGGATGCTGTGTTGCGCTATGCTATGCTATGCTATGATATGCTATGCTATGGTATGGTTTGGTATGCGATGCTATGCTATGCTATGCTATGCTGCGCAATGCTATGCTGGGCTAGGCTAGGCTAGGCTATAATATGCTATGCTGCGCTATGCTATGCTGCGCTGTGCTATGCTATGCTATGCTATGCTATGCGTTTGATTTGCCTTCGCTTTTGCCTTCACTTTTGCCTTTGCTTTTGCTTTTGCTTGGCACCCAAGGAGCGCAACTGGGGGAGCCGCGCGTTTGCTTTTACCTTTGCTGTTGCTTTTGCTTGGCTCCCAGGGGACTGGGGGAACCGCCCGGGGCGGGGTGCACTGCCCGGCCCCTTTAAGCTACAGAGTAAGAACCCTTTCTAGGCAGAGCCTAGGTAGGGAATGAAGGGGCCCTGGGACACACAAATAAATACACACAAATAACCGGACTCCCCATATGTTCCCATATGTTCTGGGTTTTTGTCTTCCCCCCCCACTTCCCATACTTTCCTATATTTTCCTGGGAGTCGACGATTAATTGTGTCTGTGTGTTTTTTCCTCTCCTGAAAAAAGGTGGGTGGTTTTCAAAATGATGCTCTCGCCGCAGCGCCGCGCACATCCGTCGTGTAAATTTGTAACCGCGTCACGGCCGCAGGGCGGTCCGCTTTCAGAACGTGGCTCTTTCGCTCTGGCGCCGCGCACGTGCGTCCGAAAATAGTCAAGTGAGTTCACAGACGGAGGGCGGTTCCTTTTCAAAATGTGGCTCTGGGCTCTGCGCCGAGCACATCCGTTGTAAGACCCTACAACCAGTTTCAAATATTCCCATGGTCGCCATCCCAAAAACTGCGTTCTGGCATAATGTGGGACTGCCAAGGCGCGACGAGTACGTTGATTCGTGGTCTGGAAGCCCTAAAATGGCAAGAATGGTGTTCTGGTACGATTCATGATCGTTCAGACGCAACAATAACGGTTCGCGGCGTTGAAAACACAGGAATACTGTTATGGCACAGCTCGGGATGTTCAAACACTTGTATTCCAACAGGAAACTTCCCTGTGAAAATGAATACTTGCAGGGGCCTAGGAAGAGGGAACTTGGAGGGAGGGTTTATTGTAATAGCGCTAATAAGCCTTGGGTCTAAACTGGTTCCCGTCCTCCTCCTCATCATCGTCGCCGTCGCCGTCGTCGTCGCTGGCGGCGACGGCATCGACATCAACATCAGCATCATCCCCGTCATCATGAACTTCATCAACACTCCAATCATCAACAGCATCATCATAACCAGCATCAGCATCATCAGCATCATCAGACTCGTCATCAGCATCGTCATCATCATCGGCATCATCATCAGTATCATCATCATGATCATGATCATCATCATCATCATCATCATCATCATCATCATCAGCAGCAGCATCATCATCATTGTCGTCGTCATCATCACCACCACCATCTCATCAGCATCGGCATCCGTCACGTCATCATCAACTACCCTGATTATCACCGTCATCGCCTGCCTGGTCACCATCACGTCATCATCGCCGACGTCGCCACATCCACATCCACCGGCATGCGCCCCCCAGAACCTCCATCGGCCAGACTGGCACCACGTCCCGAGCGCCGAGTGGCACGAAGGCGTCCACCCCGCTCGAGGGGCGGCACCGCCACTGGCCGCGCCGCCCCGAGGCTGGGAAGGAGCCACCCTTGATGGGCCTGTTCTCCACAACCACCACCACCACAATAAGCTGGAGGGGGGAAGGAGGTGGAGGATAAGGAGGAGGAAGACGAAGAGGGGGAGGACCTCCCTCCCCCCTTCAACTTAAGGTGGTGGTGGTCGAAAAGAGGCCCATCAACCCTCAGGCCGCTATCCCCCAGAGAGACCATGCAACGATCTGCGACTCGCGACAACGCCCAGGGCCGGCCCCGTCCCCCCTGGCCCCCATGGCCACGATTCGCACCGGCGCCGACTGGGACTCGGCCTTCTCGGGCATTCCCAGACGGAGCCAGCGCGAATCTAGAGGGCTCCTACATGGGGTCCGAATGGACGGGGCCAGAGGATTGTACCGCAACGCCAATGCATCGGCGGTGCATCGGCGATGCATCGGCGACGTCAGCGCTGCATCGGCGACGTCGGCGTGGAGAAAGTCGGGCTCCGCATGGAGCCGCATCGCCGATGCATCGGGGATGCGACACGATCCTCCGACCCTGGTCCAACCCCATCCACTCTGGCCCCATCTGGGAGGCCTAGATCATGCCCGCTGTCGCATTGGGATTGAAAACGGTCTCGCAGCGCCCCCCCCGAGCACGCACGCGCGCGCCTCCTCCGTGGCGGCCTGGTCCACGGCGGTGGGCTTGGCCTGCGCGCCGCCGCTGCGCCCGCCGCGGACCCCCCCCCTCCTCCGGCGCCCCCTGCCCCTCCGGGCCATATACTGACCCGGGTCAATGCAAGCCTGGGTCAGCCAGGCCTTGCAGGGTCCTGCAAGATCCTGCGGGATCCTGCAAGATCCTGCAGGATCCTTACAGGGTCCTGCAGGATCCTGCAGGATCCTGCACCCAAGCCCGGGTCGGTGCACACCTGGCTCTGCAGGATCCTGCAAAGTC